CTATGCTCCATTGCGAATAAAACAAAATAGTTTTATGAGATTTCCAAATCATTGCACTTACATTTTACAGAGCATCCCAACTTTTGTGGCATTGGGGTTGTAGATACAAAGTGTTTATCCATACAGCTATCACCAATTGTGATATATAACAGACGTGTGTGCTCTTCATCGTAAGGACCTGCTGATTTATTACAGGAAAATCCTGCTGCCATTCACTGGTACTGTGTGCAACAGTTTTAACAAATTACAAGCGCAAGTTAAGCATCACTAAAAGATGTTTAAAAGTCATAAACTCGTCATATCGCCTTCTGATCACTGATGTGATCTAAAGCTGTAGTCGCTGCTGCCCAGCATGGCATGTCATTATAATAACACATCACACTACACAGCTGTTACGACCATATTTTAATGGAAACCAGCAATCTTTGCACAATGAAAGGTACAATATCCTGTCTTTCTGTCGTCGTTATGGATTAAACAAAGCCAAGTTGTCCCTTTGCTCTTGCCCAACTCATTGTCATGGTAGTTATTCTAAGAGAAGCCATCCCTTGTGTACCGAAGCTGTAAGATACACAGAGCAGATTACCTCTGCCGGATTTGTGCATAAACAGCAACCACATGCTGCGGCATATAATAAAAAACATTCCAATGACCACAGGCCTGATGAGAAACGAGATTTGAATCAGTCCTATTGCTACACATCCATGCTGTCATTCCTCTCCCTGTTCCATTAGCCATCACACTTACCATTTCATTCACCCTGTCTTTATATGGCACTTTCCAAACAGATTAACATCTTGTAACAATAAATCCTGTTAAGTTTCAGACCTTAGAAGGAGACATGTCATCAACATTCCGGCTGAGTAGTCAAAGTAGTATTTTGAGACAGACAAATCATCTTTAACCCTCGACTATGACTTTATTTGCAGTAAGTCTTTAACTCTGAGGTTTACTAAGGATTGAGGCATGCTTGGAAGTGTTTTAATCATGTTGTCAAACAGTAAATGGTGCGCAGCCGCTCAGTTACTTATAAATCCCAAAGGATTTCAATCTCAGACTGCTGTTCTTGGAACATTTAAGATAAACTGAGATATGTCCCAGGTCATTTCAAGAAAATGACTGTTCTGTCTTTTTTCACAGCATCAACAACAATCTATATTAATAAGAGACAAATATTCCAGCTAAATGATGGCTGTCGGGGTTACAAATCCTCAGAATGAAACACAGAATAGACCAGCAAAAAACCTCGTAAAGCTCTTCTCTGTTCCCCTCTGTTTATTGCACATCGTGTTGTTTCCTGTTACTAATAACCCAATCAATCCCATTTGTGGTAACCCGAAGGGACATGCCTCTCGCACAAAATCAAGCCCTAAATTGAGGTGACGAGAGAAAAGACAGTGTGTGAGAAAACGCTGCTCCAAATATTTGATGACATTTTTCTTCATCACTGGGAGAAAGTCTCCCTAAACAAAACCTCCTTTTCAGTACGCAGAACCGCCCGAAACCGCATCCTGGTGTTTCTCAGCAAAATGTTAACCCGGTGACAGCGCTCGCACATGTTTCTTTCTT